ATGAATTCAAGATAAATTGATATTCTAGAGTTATGGGTTGTTAAAAAAAAAAAAAAAAAAAAAAAAAAAGCACAAAGCACACGATATATATATATATATATTTTTTTTTTGTGTGTGTGAGGGAGAGAGAGAGAGAGAGAGAGAGAACTAGGGTAAATTAATGGTAATATCAGTTATGCTTCATCTTATTGTATGTGAGAAGTCAAATATTTGTTATCTTTTTTTTTATGACTCATCCCACTCTATGGTAGCATGCGATAGGTAAAATTAATCTTCTTGGTATAAAAATGCTCCCAGGCACATTCTACGAGGCTAGAAAAGACTTTCTCTTTTCCGGCAATAACCAATAGTATTTCTGTCCTCCGGCGGCATCTCAGTTTTTTTCTGTCTTAATTAACAGTTGCTGTTTTTATGGGTCTAGACAGGATTTACTTTGCTCTGGGCTTTAAGTCCTACGATATCACCAGACTCATTTCAAGGGCTGAAGTCTGGTTTGAATGGGTGGAAAGGAGCCGCAATTTGATGCGTAGAACGACGTTCAGCAGGAAGACTATGGAGTGGTTGTGTTTCGTGCTACAAGAAGCGTCAAGAGATGCTGATCACTATGTAAGAAGATGGAAACTAAAGGAAGAACAATCAAACTTCTTCTGCGCAAGGAAAACCAACAAGTTTGGAAGATTTATAAGTATTGTTTGTACAGGGAGAAAGAAGATCTGTAATTATTATTCCAGAAATTACATTTAATGCAGGGTGGAAGGATATTGCATTTAAGATAAGTCGCTTCATAAATGAAAACAAAACATCTTTTATTACAAATGCTCCCAGAGTCTCAGATCCCAATTCTCCCTTGGCAGCTTCTGTAAGAACCAGTAAATGGCAAACTAGAGAATCCAATGCAGTCTTGATTAAAACCAGCAACAACAGAATCTTCTTATCTGGAGGAGATGCTATGGCTGAGAATGGACTGCTGGGAAGATGTGTGGTTGGAAATTTCAAGGAAGACCTGGACGAAAAGCCAACACTAGCGGATATCAGAAGATGGTCAGTGAGCACATGGAAAAACTCGTTCGGTGTTAACATTTACGAGATGGGGGGTTGTCACTTTCTCTTTGAATTTCCAACAAAATATATGGCGGAACAAATCTTGATAGGAGAGTGGAGATGGAAGCGAGCAAAATTTCATCTGGATTGGTGGTCACCGGTCGCCGGTTGTTGCTCAGACAATCAACAAAAAAAGGAGATCTGGATCAGAGCAATGGGTCTTCCTCTGCACTTCTGGACAGAAAAAGTTTTCAAAGCCATTGGAGACAAATGTGGAGGTTGGCTGGAAACAGAGGAAGAGACAAAGCTGAAGAACCATTTAAAATGGGCGAGAATTAAAGTTAAAGGAAATGGTGCAGATGTCCCGAAGGAAGTGACGATTGTAGAAAATGGGTTAATCTTTATCATACCCATCTGGTGTGAATCGCCGACGAGGGTTCTTCCTGGAGGTGAAGAAGATACAGGAAGGGTCAAAGACAACAAGGCAATAGAGCCCTATGTCTCAGAGGTTAGAAGGGGTAGTTGTGGTATAAAAGGGAGAGAGCACGTGGGCTCCTCAAAAGATGTGCCCAATGTGAAAGTAAAGGTGGATAAGGGGGAGGGGGCATCTGGCAGTAATAAGGGGGGAGTTAATAATAAGGGTTTAGGTATTGGGCCGACTAAGCAGCCCAAAACTCTTAGAGATAGGGCAAAACATAATGATCAGAAGGACTCAGTTTTATTTAATGAGGTGGGCTCAGTTTTATTTACTGAAGCCCAAATCTTTAATCAAGCCCAAGTCAATATTGGCACATCTGATATTTTGGATCCAGTTGCAATTGAAGTTGAAGCCATTAACTTTGCTATGTTGGAGTCTCCACGTAGTTCTGGAAACATCGACAACGAAATATGGGTAGATTCTCCTTCCCATTTTCAAGAACAAAATCAAATGGTGGTTCAGGAAGAAGTAGATAATTACGTAGATGCCATGACAAACACAGAAGGGGAAAATTCACAGATTGACTTTCCAGGGGACAATGGAGACATGCAGATGCTCATGCCTTCAGAGTCAAACAATTGGCCAATTGAGGAGGTAGAACCTTTGAAGATACAGCTTCAGGAGGAGGAAATAGAGGGGGAAATGGATGCATCTTTATGGGTCCATCAGAATGTGCTTAAATTGAGCAAACAATATGGGGCCAATTTCCATGGATGCGAGAAAGAGGCTCTGGCCTTATTCATGAAGATAGATAGTTGCAGACAAGCAAAAAGGCAAGCAGCAGAACCTTTGATTATGGCAACTCATAAAAAGAAAGGCACTCAAGAACTTAAAGGTTTAGTGTTTGATATGAAGTTCAAGAGCACTGGAGGAAGGAATAGGGGAAAAGAAGTTTCAATGGTGGATCAATGAAAGTAAAAATCATATCTTGGAATGTGAGGGGATTGAACTGCATTCAAAAAAGAAGGATTGTAAATAGTTTGGTTCAAAAGTGGAAAGCTGATGTTTTCTGTTTCCAGGAAACAAAAATTGAAGGGGACATAGAGGAGATTATCAAGCAACTGTGGGGAAATAGGGGTGTAAAGTATGGGCAATTGGAGGCTAGTGGAACTAGGGGGGGTATTCTAATGATGTGGGATAGCAAGATTTGGAAGGGGGAGGTGGTTACTACTGGATCCTACTCTATAACATGTAGATTTGAATCTCAAACTCAAAATTACATTTGGATTTCACTGGGGTTTATGCTCCAAATTGCAACAAAGAGAGACAAAAAGTTTGGTGGGAAATTGGAGCTGTGAGGGGTCTTTTCATTGGTCCTTGGGTGGTAGGAGGTGATTTTAACATAGTTAGATTCCCTTTTGAAAAAAGGAATTGCACAAGAAACACTAGAGCGATGACAGATTTCTCTGATTTTATTATCTGATTTTATTGAAGACATGGAACTAGTGGATCTTCAACTGATAGGGGGAGTTTATACATGGACTTGTGGGGACAATCACGAGATCTCATCCAGAATTGATAGGTTCCTTGTAACTGCAGAATGGAATGATTGTTTTACGAACATCAAACAAGAAATTTTACCCAAAATTTGCTCTGACCACACACCACTAGTGTTACAATGTGGTAAATGGGAACAAAAGAAATCATATTTTAAGTTTGAGAATTGGTGGTTAGAGACCGAAGGCTTCACTGATAGAGTTAGAAACTGGTGGACTTCTTTTATTTTTGAAGGCAGACCCGACTATATTCTTGCATGTAAGCTCAAAGCACTCAAAGGTAGATTGAAAGAATGGAGTCAAAGCAATTATGGCAATGTGGAGATAAGGAAAAACTTAATACTGCATCAAATATCCGAATTGGATGCAATCCAACAGCTAAGAGGTCTGAATGAAGAGCAAAAGATCAAAAGGGCAAATCTTTTCATGGAATTTGAAGAAAATGCTAAAAGGGAAGAAATAGCGTGGAGACAAAGATCCAGGACTCTATGGCTCAAGCAGGGTGACAGGAATACAAAATTTTTCCAAAGAATGGCCAACGCTCATAGAAGGAATAACAACATTGATCAGTTGTTGGTGGAAGGGGAGACTATTGAAGAACCAGAAGCTATCAAAAGGGAGATCACAAATTTCTACACCAAACTTTACTCTGAAACTGAAAACTGGAGACCCACTTGCAGTATGCATAATTGTTGTACTATCACTGAAGAAGAACAACAAGCATTGCAAAGTCCCTTTGATGAGAAAGAGATCTTTGAATGTTTAAAGCTATGTGCAATCGACAAAGCTCCCGGTCCAGATAGGTATTCAATGGTTTTTTTTATCAAGTATTGGGAGGTAGTTAAGTTAGCTGTTGTGGCTACTATCCAGAATTTTCACTCTCAAGAGATGTTTGAAAAAAGCTTCAATGCCACATGTAGCTTTGATTCCAAAAAAGAATGGTGCCAGGGAATTAAGGGACTTTAGACCTATTAGTTTAATCGGCAGCATCTATAAGATGATCTCCAAAATTCTCACTGAAAGACTTAAAAAGGTGATGCACAAACTAGTTGACTCGCATCAAATGGCATTCATCAGAGGCAGACAAATTACAGATGGCGTTTTGATAGCTAATGAATGCTTGGATTCTAGGTTAAAGGAGAAAAAACCTGGCATAATGTGTAAGTTAGATATTGAAAAGGCTTATGATCATGTAAATTGGGAATTTCTACTAGGGATCTTACAGAAAATGGGGTTCGGAAGGAAATGGATCAATTGGATGAAGTTCTGTATTAGCACTGTCAGGTTCTCAATTTTGATAAATGGATCTCCTGAAGGATTTTTCCCCTCCCAAAGAGGATTGAGACAAGGTAACCCTTTGTCTCCTTTTCTTTTTATACTAGCTATGGAAGGATTGAACAACATGCTGAAGAATGCTCATGGGAATGGCTGGATTAATGGTTTCAATGTGGCTAATATTCAAACAAACAGGCTGGAAATTACTCACCTTCAGTATGCAGATGATACCTTGATTTTTTGTGATGCAGAGGAGAGTCAATTAAGACATTTAAGGGTTATCCTGGTACTGTTTGAAGCTATATCTGGACTCCACATCAATTGGAGGAAAAGCCAAATATTTCCAGTAAATGAGGTACCTAGGATACAACTGTTGGTGGATATTTTGGGTGGGCAAGCTGGAACTACTCCAACCATTTACCTGGGTATGCCTCTGGGAGCAAAAAGCAAGTCCAAAGACATTTGGAATGATGTTTTGGAAAGGTGTGAGAAAAAGCTTGCAAGATGGAAATCCAATTATCTGTCTCTGGGAGGTAAATTGGTGCTCATCAATTGTGTTCTGGATGCACTTCCTACCTATATGATGTCTTTATTCCCCTTACCAGCAAGTGTAGAGAAGAGATTGGAAGTTTTGAGAAAACAATTTCTGTGCCAAGGAAACAAAGATAAAAAAGGGATCCATTTAGTTAAATGGAAGACCCTGACTATCAGTAAACAAGGAGGAGGACTGGGAGTTAGGAATTTAAGAAGGCAAAACAAAAGTCTATTGATGAAGTGGCTATGGAGGTTTTCAAAGGAGGAGCAAGCACTATGGAGCAAGGTGATTAGGGAAAAATATGAAAAGGAAGAATTTTGGATGACTAAAGGAGTTCATACTCCTTATGGAGTCTGTCTCTGGAGATCCATAAGGAATTTGTGGCCAAACTTGAAAGATAAGCTGAGTCTTATTGTGAAAGATGAAAAGAAAGCATTANCATATTTTCATTTGCTATAGCCCACGCCTTCCGAGTGGGCCCGGGCCCCCCGGACCCCGATCGCTTAAAATTTTTCTAGGCCATCAAATACGATTAAGGAACTATAGTCTCCACCCCGCCCTGACCGTTCCTCATTGTTTTTGCGTTTTACGGCCAAAAAACTAGAATTCTGCCTAATTCCCATATTTTCGTGTGCTATAGCCCACGCATTCCGAGTGGGCCCGGGCCCCCTAGAACCAAATCGACTAAAAATATTTTGGGCTATTGAATACGACCTAAGGAAAAATAGTCAACGCCCCGTCATGACTGCTCCTCGTTATTTTGCATTTTACGGCCAAAAAACTAGAATTCTGCCCGATTCCCATATTTTCGTGTGCAATAGCCCACACCTTCCGAGTGGGCCCGGGCCCCCCATCATCGGAT